GTAATCAGTTTTTTACGGTTGTGTTTTGGTGTGGAATGTGAAACTTGTAAGTTTAGCTTTACTATGCGCCCATGTTTTGAAACTCTCCTTTTGCCAGTTGGCGGACAAGTAAGGCGGATGGAGAGATATTATTTTGCCAGCATAACTACAAAACCAAATGTATAATTATTTTGCAAAAGGAAATGTCTTTTCTATTACTCTTCTCATTACTAATTAAAATGTCTATTATTCTTTCAGTCATGTGTAGTAAAAGTTTCAGCACAAGGAAACCTTCGCAAATTATGTTCCTTCCCCACACGACCCAGTTTTTTTGTGATTAATTTGTTTAGCCTGCATTTATCACACATGTCTATAAAATATCATGCATTCATTCATTGCTTGCATTCATCACACATGTCTATAAAATAGACGGTTGTATTACGACATTTCGAAAGGAATATTGTGCACCATTTGCAGAGAATGAAATCTTTTTTTTCCATTCCTCCTGAAATTCGTGTGTACCTCGCATTCCGTACTTTCGTTTCATTGCGGAAGCCCTTCGGAGTCCATTGATTGTGATTGTGATTGTGTGTGCGTGTGCGCAGGAGTTCGAGTGCGACGTGTCGCTGGGCGGCGCGGGACACGAGCGCCAAGAGTTCTCATTCACGCTTTACGACTTTGACGGCCACGGCAAGATCACCAAGGATGTGAGTATACCCGCGCGCCACGCCACTACAGAGATCACTGCGCTCTCTCTCTCTCTCTCAGGGGCTCGCCACGTAGTCTGAGCAGTCGCCGCGGGAGGCGCTACCGTCCGCGCTGCGAAGCCGCCGAGCGGCTGCAAATCGTACCAACAGTACAGTGTTCCTCTCGCACCTCTTGGAATTTCCGAAAAACACCTGGGCGACTCGTGGGGTGTTATAGCAAACAGATCGCTCAACTTCTACTTCTGAGTTCCAAGGTTCAAATCTTATTCATTCCGTGAGGAAATTTGTTGTTAGTAAAACGGGTTCGCGATAGTGATGCGACATTGATAACTAAACATCAAAATTAACACATCACTGTTAAATATGGACTAAAAACAATCTATTTTTTTACATTGGCTTAGTAGCCTCTAATATTAAATTCGTATGCATTTAATTTCACAATGTGTTCATCAATTCGCCGAATAAGGCACCACATCAACACTATCATAATTTCACCTGCCGTCTTCCATTACCCTCGCATTCATTCTCGCAGTTCAAAGGTTTAGTGTGCGTTATCT